CCAAGAGCCGACAAGGACCCCAAAGGGAGAAGCCTCCGTACAGGAATGGGCACCTAATGGGCATGATTGAAACCTGGTGGGATGGAAGTTGAAAGTGGTCTACAGTGCGTGTGAAAGGAAGGCCTGGCTGAGGAAGAAGGTGGCATGGAGGCTGCAGGCAAGAGTTGTAGCCGAGAGAGGACCTTTAGGGCCTTGGCCTTGAGAGAATCTTAAGGAGGCTGCCAGGCCTGGGAAAAGAGGAGGGGGCCACTGCAGACCAGACCCTGAGCACTCTTCTGGGGTGTGTTATTAAGCAGGCAATTGGTGAGCAGTTATTTATTTGATTTATTTTTTACATTTTTGAACCAACCATCTCCCTCAGATTTAGAAAGCGTCACACTGCACGGCTTAGTATAAAGAGAGAGTGGTGTTGATTCCTGGCCCTGGCATAATTTGAAATTATACTGTTATATAAAAGTTCTGGGAGCTTCCTCACAAGGGGCTTTCAAGAAGAGACTGGACTGCCATCTGTCAGAAATGGTGTAGGGTCTCCTGCTTGGGCAGGGGGGTTGGGCTAGATGACCTACAAGGTCCCTTCCAACTCTCTTAATTTAATCTACATGTGGAAGGACCTGCCTTGGAGGAGTGAGGAAACAGGCTCTTTGAAGCAGAACTTGGGCCTGTCTTTTCTTTTCTTTTCTTTTCTTTTCTTTTCTTTTCTTTTCTTTTCTTTTCTTTTCTTTTTTTCTTTTCTTTTCTTTTCTTTTCTTTTTTGTAATTTTTTTTTATTTTTTCCAACATAAACATAAAAAAGAAAAATTTTCTCAAGAACGAAGTCTTGGTCCGGTCACAAATGGGTATACTAGTTTAACAAATAAAAACAAATAATTTTAACCTAAATTCCAGCATCTTAATTTAAATCTTTCTATTATCTCATCATATATCTTAATCTACTACTACTAAATCTACTAAAGTAAAACTCATTTTTATATTCAATTATAAATTCAATTATAAATCAAAATTCAATACCGCTCTAATTTTTTTTCCATTGCTCCTTTTAACATCAACATTAAACACAAAAACAGCCTAATCTATTAATCTATATATATACCTCACAATTTTATCACCACGAATCTTAATTTCCAACTCAATTTTTATTTCAATCTATTAATCAAAATTTCTTTCTATTTTTCTCGCTTTCTAGACCCAATTCATCTTATTTTGATCTTAAACTTTTACACAGACATCTCAAAATTTTCCATTTCATTTTAATTATCGCCCAACATTTTCTTTTTCACCCCTTATTAATAATTATTCTTCAATGTATTCTCCTCATTTTCCTCCATCACTCCCCCTATTGTTTGGCTGATTTCCAGCATAACATATTTTGGCTGAGTTTTCAGCATATTCTCCTCCATAACTCCAACTATTATTTGGCTGATTTCCAGCATTTTCTCTTATTTTGGCTAATTTCCAGCATGCTTTATTTTGGCTGATTTCCAGTATTCTCCTCCATAGCTCCACCTATTATTTGGCTGATTTCCAGCAGTACTTATTTTAGCTGAGTTTTCAGCATATTCTCCTCCATAACTCCAACTATTTATTTGGCTGATTTCCAGCATGCTCTGTTTTGGATTGCTGATTAACAGCATTCTCCTCCATAACTCCCACCTATTATTTGGCTGATTTCCAGCATTACATTATTTTGGCTGAATTTTCAGTTTATTCTCCTCCTTAACTCCAACTACTATTCTGCTAATTTATTTTAAAAATTTCTTTTTCAATATGTTTTCTGTTGATCCACTGTTTCCAACTATATTCTTCTAGGGTGTATCCCCATCTATTCCTTGATATTAATCATTTCAAATTCAATCTCAATTATGACTTCCCTCTGTGTAATCATTAACAACTAATCATGATTATCATCCACCACTTTGTTATCAAATTAAAACTAAAACATGTTACATCAAATTATGCTTTTATGAAAATATCACTTTTAGTCACCTTAACTTCCCACTTCTATTTTAATTATTTTTTATTTTTTATTTTCTATCTTTATTTTACCATAAGCACTTCTTGTTTTTATTTAAAGCTCACTTAAACTTTGAACCATTTAAACAATTAAACATTCAAACATTGCTATCTGATTTATCTATTTTGCTTCTTCATTTCCTTATCTGTCCATAAGCATTTCAATTCAAAGTCAATACTTCCACACTTAGAACTCTCCGTACCATCAGTACGCTGACGACACCCAGCTGTACATCTCCACCTCGAACCACCCCAACGATGCCCTTGAAGTGATGTCCCAGTGCCTGGAGGCCGTACGGATCTGGATGGGGAGGAACAGGTTCAGGCTCAACCCATCCAAGACTGAGTGGCTGTGGTTTCCGACGTCCCGATATACTCAGCTGGTGCCATCGCTGACTATTGGGGGCGAATCATTGGCCCCCACGGAAAGGGCTCGCAACTTGGGCGTCCTCCTGGATTCACGGCTGTCTTTAGAAGAGCACTTGACGGCCGTGACCGGGAGGATTTTTCATCAGGTCCGCCTGATCTGCCAGTTGCGTCCCTTTCTAGATCGGGACACAGTCACTCATGCCTTCGTCACCTCTCGTCTGGACTATTGTAACACTCTCTACATGGGGCTCCCCTTGAGGTGCACTTGGAGGCTCCAACTGGCGCAGAGTGCGGCCGCGCGGATGGTTATGGGAGCAACATGGAGCTCCCATGTAACACCTCTCCTGCGCGAGCTGCACTGGCTTCCGGTGGTCTTCCGAGTGCGCTTCAAGGTTCTGGTTATCACTTTTAAAACGCTCCATGGCTTAGGACCTGGTTATCTACGGGACCGCCTGCTACCACCAATAGCCTCCCACCGGCCAGTACGCTCCCATAGAGAGGGGCTCCCCAGGGTGCCATCGGCCAAACAATGTCGACTGGCGGCCCCTAGGGGGAGAGCCTTCTCTGTGGGGGCACCTATGATCTGGAACGAGCTCCCCCCGGAGATACGGAGGATCCCGGATCTGCTCACCTTCCGTCGCGCGCTTAAAACTTTTTTATTTCATCAAGCTGGCCTGGCCTAAATCTTCTCCCCTTTTAAATATAAATTTTAAATACAAATTTTAATCTGTTTTAAATTATGGGGTATTTTAAATTCAGCCAAATTATTTAATTTGTTTTTAATCTTTTAAATTTTTGTACTTCTGTGTTTTATCTTGTGGCTGTTCACCGCCCTGAGTCCTTCAGGAGAAGGGCGGTATAGAAATTTAATAAAATAAAATAAAATAAAATAAAATATTGTATTATAAAATCTGTTTCCAGTAAAATCCATCAGCTTCTCCACTTCCGTTCCTGCACCAGACCTTTTGTTGCTGCGCCAATTAGTTAAAAGTTTATTAGTCATTGTGTTTCCTCTTTCTTTATAAAGCCATTAGAAGACAGAATAGGAATCTCCAAAGTTCAAAAAACCTTACTTTTCAAAGTAATCCACAATAGGATTCTTTTCAAATAGGTTCTTTTCAGGAAAAAACAAGTTTCCGCAATCAACACTTTCACTTGGTCACAGCTTCAATTGCCATTTTGAAACATTTATGTAGCAGTCCGTTTAATCTCTTTGTCTGGCTTTTAAAGATGGCAAATCCTTAATTATCGCTTTTCTCTTTTCCAAAAGTCAAATCCATTTCAGTTTTAACAGGAAAATTCGAATATCCAGCTCTATTTAGTTAATAAGCAATTCATTCCAATCAATCAATATTAAAGTAAGATTCTTAAAGGGTCTTTAACTCCTTTCCTTATTTTACAAGATCTTCAAGCCCCTCGGATCTTCAGCCACTAGGTAAGGCTGGGGGTCTTATTTGTAAATATCCTTATTCATATGTTGTTTCTCTCCTGGGTTGGTGTCACTCACCTGGCTCTGAAGCACATTGTCCTTTCTTCCTTCCTCCTGCGCGTTGCTTGTCCCGATTTGTCGTGGTCTCGAGGCAGCCAGCATGGCTGCCGTCCCCCACTGCTGACTTAGAGGGTTGCCTCCGGCCTCCGAGGAACTTGCCTGTTCCTCTTGGCTGCTTCCTCTTTCTCCCCTGTTCCTTCAGGACAGGGTAGGTCCGCAGACCTGTCAGTGGTGGTTTGCCAGTTGGGATCTTTGTGGGGCTCTTCAGAGCCCCGCTATTTCCCCGACTGCATCCCCGTGACGCCAAACCAGAAGTCGGGCACATCTTTTCTTGATGAGGTTGGAGGATCATTTGTGCCACAGGATCCTCCATCAAACAGCAGGAAAAAGGAGTAGATGTCCCCTTTTGCAATTGCCCCCCCACCTTGCCTAAAGTCCCCGTTTCTCTGGCTCCTGCTGCACTGCGCAAGGGAGAAGCTGTCCTGTGTTCAGCCCTGGGATGAGTCAGAGAGACCTTCTCTTTCGCTGACTTAGAAGGTGGCTGAAAAAAACCTATCTATCTAGGGCTTTTGGCACTCTGAATTTTAACTGTCCTGCTGGGGTCCTAACAGAGATCTAAACTTCCTTTCCTTCTGATTAGCTTGATGGCTTCTCATTTTCAGTTCAGAGTTTTCTGCAGCCACTTTATTTTTGAAGATACTGTCCCTTTTTCTTCTTCTTACTAGAACCTTGCAATTCCACGTTTAGTCTGCTCTTTTCAAAAAAGGCTCTTAATATTTAATTAGTTGGGAGCAGATCATTTGTTCTCTGTTTTCTAATGTGCTGTGATTCTTTAAAGTGTCTCTGTCATGGTGTCAACATTGTGTGAGAGTGACAATGATTGTGGATTCCTACAAACCAAGCCAGAGTCTGCTTATCCAAGTTGAGCACGCCAAGTTCACACACGGTAGAAACCGTGGTTGGCAAATACCAGTAGCCGAGTTGCCTGTTGCAGCAAGCCCAATCCAAACTGGCTGCCTTCACCGTGTTTGAACCAGCTCCCTGGGAAGGGGTTTCTTGTGAAGGTTGTAGAGAAGCACCTCTTGGCCTGGGGAAGGAGTGGCGGCCCATGCAAATTGTTTCTCTCTTCCAGTATTATTGTTGCAAGAAGGATGAGTCGGAAGAGGACGGCGACGAGCCCGACTTCCCTGTGGATTCACACATTCCCCCCCTGCACTGCAACCGTAACGTGGCTCTGACCAACGGCCCTTCCTTGTACCGCTCCCCCTACAAGAAGCCCTCCCAGTCCCGGACTGGCTGCCCGAGCTGCTCCCAGTATGAGCCTCCAACGTTCTTCCTGCAGGAGCCCGAAGAGGAAGTCCGCAACGGGGGTGACCTGGTCAACTACAAGGCCATCAGCCAAGAAGACCTGGAGTTACCCATCGGCCTGAGCGGTGGTCTCCAGGCCCTCAACCCCAACCGGCTCTCCGCCATGCGCGAAGCCTTCTCCCGCAGCCGCAGCATCAGCACGGATGTCTGACCGGTCTGGCCAAAGAGGCCCCGTCCCCCCCTCGGCTCGCAGGCTTGGCTAAAGGCTGAAGGTAACTTCTGCTTCCCAGCCTCTTCCTCTCTCGTCTTGTATGAATGGGGCCAGGAGCACGGCTGTCTTGGTAGAGATAATCCATTTTCTAACCCCGGTCAAAGGAGCTCTTCCTTTCTTCCTGTAGGTGAGGTTTTTGATACAGGACATCCTTTTGTATGAATATGCAAACTGGTTTGCCACTCTTCAGCCTGCACAAAGTGTGGCCTCTGCTTTCCCCAATGGGTGGGGGTGGGGAAGGAGGCTGGAACTGAGCCAGGGCCAGATATTTTTGCAAATTGTTTAATGCGAATCCAACTATTTTCCCCTCTTCCCTGCAGTGTCCCCGCCATACATTCAGTCTACTCTATGAAAGCCTTGCACCTGCCCACCCCCTCGAGGGAGGCCCTCCCTTTCCCCTGGTTGCTTTCAAAGAGCTGTTTTGAATGACAGAAGAAACATGCCAGGAATGTGGCCAGGACCCTGTCCACTATGTCCAGCTTAGATCTCAGCTTTAGTTTGGTCCTGGCCTGTTTTTTGTTGCTCAGTAAGGGTGGAGGGCTGCCAAGGACCATGAAGATGTTTGGTTGGCAGGGGGGGGGGGCAGGACTTTACCATGTTTGATCAGTGGTGTTGCCTGCTGTAGGACTTCCTCTATCGCACCTGCAATGAAACTCATCAGTGGTTTTGCCAGCCAAACCAGAGGTGACTCTGCTGTGCTCTGGGCCTCTTGTTCTTTGTCCCCTGTCCCAGCTTCCCCTCTGAGTGTCCAGGAGGCAGACGCAGAGGGACGGTGGGCACAAGGCACTTCTGCGGGCACAGGGGCATTCCTTTTCTTTGGGACAGAAAGGCTGCAGCTTGGAGCTCCTGGCAATAAGATTTAGTGCAGCGATATTGGCAGCCTGTTAGAGAAGGCAGCTTCCCTCAACCTGCCTCCAGGAAAGTGGGGGTCTGGCTAGATGGGACATCAGCAGGGAGATGAGACTTAAAAGACAGCAGGACAGACTGCCTTCGGAGGCCACCTGAGATAAAGAAGGCTAGTCCACACCACTCCTCCACCAGGCCTTTGGGTCTGGAGGCAGCAGTGGGATGGAGACTGCCCCACAGTGCCCAGAGGAAAATGGTTCCCCTGTGGGATCTGACCATGTGCTCAGGTAGCTTGTAAAACTGGCACTCACAAGTTAGGTGCTGGGGATGATGGGAAGAACCCCAGGCTGGGCAGTTTGAGTTCAACCTATTCAACCTCCTCTGGAGCGGGCACAGGGCATGAGAGCCCAAGAGGCAAAGGGCCATCTGACAAGGAGCAGAAACGGGTGCCAGTTCAGAGACAAGTCAATAGTGTCACTGATCCAGGTGGGCTTTTTCCATTTAATTTGAAATTAATGTTCATGTCTTGCTTTGGCTGCATCCAATAAAATGCATTCATGTTGGTCTTCGGTGATCTGTAACTAGTTGCTGCTTCCAAAAAACTATTTTGTATAATTCTTAAAATTCGTATTGGTTTCAGTGGCACTCTTAAAAAGGCTACAGTTTGTTGCTTATAAGTATGGCTATTTATTTTTCCCCTTTATATATCTTTGAAATAAATTCAAACTATTTCGTGAATTTTCATTTACCTTTACTTGTGATAAACATGTATAGGACTTCTGGATTCCGAAAATAAAATAAAAAAACCTTACCTTGACTTGTTATCAAATGAAGTGTTTTTTTACGGTATTTAAGAAAATTATTTAACACCTTTAAGAAAAGTGGGGAGGAGAATGCTCCATCTGTTTTATGGCCCACAAGCATGCGAGGGGACAAAAGGGGAAGCCCTTTTAAAATGGGAATTTAAGAAATGGGGACACCAATTTCTCCTCTTAAAATTTCTGCCTCTCCCCCAACCCTGGCCCTCCCACCCTCTTTGGAATGTGGCGTTGAGATGCCACACTTGCGTTGTCTTAATGCCTTATTTTACTGCACCAAGTCAATGCCTTTTTTTCTTTTTTCCTTGCTTTCCCCCACTATCCACTATGTATTCTTCTTGTATGACATATTATAAATTAATAAAACTATGGAAAATAAAAAGGAAAAAAATAATGTAAAAAAGAGACGCTACATCTGCTGAGCGTGGAGCCCCTTCATGTAGTATCTCCTCCAGACGGCTTCCTTCTCTTCCTTTTGAATTGAATTGAATACTCTATTTGGCCAAGTGTGATTACACACACAAGCTTTCAGTGTGCATGCAAAACTACATAAAGATACCAATAAGAGGGGGTAGTAAAGAAGGCAACAACAACAACAATAATAATAATAATTAATAATAATAATACAAAAAAAGAAGGTACTTGGTTGATACCTAGGACGCTGGCAGCAACCTGTATCAACCATTAGCACCAGTCAATGGTATTTGTGATGCATTTTTGAATGTTCAGTTGACTGAGTTTCATGTTTAATGAATAAATCAATAATAATAATAATAAGTTTCCCCGAAAATAAGCCCTCCCCGAAGGCCAGGGTTCAAAAAAATATAAGACAGGGTCATATAAGACGGTAATAATAATATGGAACATAAAGTGGAAAAAGTTGTTGAAACCGAGATGGTGAAGATCTTGTGGGATTTTTGAATACAGACAGATTGTCATTTGGAACACAACACGCCAGATATCACAGTTGTCAAGGGCCGAATACAATTTATTGATATCGCTGTACCCGGAAACACTAGAGTTGAAGAAAAAGAATTTCAGCCATTAGCACCAGTCAATGGTATTTGTGACACATTTTTAAATGCCTAGTTGACTGAGTTTCATGTTTAATGAATAAAAGGAATAATAATAAATAACATTAAGATTTGCCTATCCCAGGTAAGGATTCTATAGGTAGACAAGAATGCCAAACCCAGTCTGAACACTGCGATGATCAATAATAATAATCTATATAAATAAAAATGTAAATGTCCGTTTGTACATAACCGCACATCTCCGAAAGTTCTTCACCAATTGCTTTCAAATTTTGACACAACGTTGCATTCTACTACGGGTGTGTTTTTATATACCTATATTATATACATGTCACACCTGTGACAGGTAAAAACATGAAAAACATTGGAAAACATTGAAAGACATTGACAAACATTGAAAAACAGCGCCATCTGCTGGATGTAAAACCAACATGGCAGCCTCCCGGCCCTGATTACGGTCAACAGATTTCTGCTCCTTATATTTAGACTCTCCATATTGCTTCCAAGAAACTGCGCATTTGGAAGGCAGAGACGCCCGAGGGCCATATCCTGCCACCAGGCTCGGCAGGTAGGCAGCTGGCTCCCCGCCGGGAAGCCCTCGCAGCCGGCGCTTCCAGGGCTGGGCGGGACCCGCCCAAGCCTGGCTCTGACCTCCCCCTCCCCTGACCGCCCCGTGAACTATCCTCACCCGCCGCTGCTGCCCATCCCCCTCGCCAGCCGCTCTCGGGGCTTCCTCCAAAGAACACCTGGCAATGAGGCTGCCTGGGTCCGCCGAGCGGGAACCCTCCGTCCCTCGCCAGGCCCGAATCGCGCCTGGCCCAGCGCTACCACGGGCCCCGAGGTCAGAAAGACCAGCCACTAACCGGCGCTATGCGAATCCAGTCGGTGAGCAGGAGATGGAGGCAAGTGAGCCTCGGGGTCACCTTTGACCAGTGCCGCCTTGCATTCCCAGGTGAGTACTCTGGCAGTTCACGGAGCCTACACGAAAATTTCAGCCTCTGGCAGAAAAGGGGCTCTGGGGAGGCTTCGGGGGCCGGAAACGGGCAGGAGGGAGGATGACCGGCCCTCCTTCGTTTCGCCTGGAAGAACTGCGCAGCAGGGGTCCAGTGGAGTGTGTGTGGCTCCTGGCTTTGCCACTTTCTTTCTTCAGGCGGGAAGCCCCAAACCAGCCTCGAACCCCCACCGCACCCTCTCCCTCCCTCCCCTTCCCTTCCCTGCTATGCGTCTCCCCGTTGAGCCCCCAGAGAACATCTGTGTAGGGAGGACGGAGTTTCTTCTGTGGTGCGGAGAGCTGTGAAGGCCTGGCCTGAAAAGGTAAGGGTGATGGCGGGGGATGCAGAAGAGGCCAGGCCAGAGACAGAGATAAACAGAGAGATAGGGAGAGAGAGAGACATAGAGAAATACAGAGAGACGGGGGGGGGGAGAGAGTGACACATACAGAGATACAGAGAGAGAGGGGGAGAAGGGGGAGAAAGAGACATAGAGATACAGAGGGGGAGAGAGACACACATAGAGAGATACAGAGAGGGTGGGAGCGAGAGAGACAGATACGGGGGGAGAGAGAGACAGATACAGAAAAAGGGAGAGAGACAGAGAGGGGGGAAAGAGACATAGAGAGATAGAGATGGGGGGGAGAGAGAGAGATACAGAGTGGGGAGAGACAGATAGAGAGAGGGAGAGAGACAGATACAGAGGGAGGAGAGAGACAGATACGGGGGGGAGAGAGACATAGATGCAGAGAGAGAGACAGATACAGAGGGGGAGAGAGAGACAGATACAGAAAAAGGGAGAGAGACACAGAGATACAGGGGGGAAAGAGAGACAGAGAGATAGAGATGGGGGAGAGAGAGAGATACAGAGTGGGGAGAGACAGAGATACAGAGAGAGAGGGAGAGAGACAGATACAGAGGGGGGAGAGAGACAGAGAGATACGGGGGGGAGAGAGACATAGATGCAGAGAGAGAGGCACAGATACAGAGGGGGAGAGAGAGAGACAGAGTTACTGAGGGAGAGTGGGAGAGAGACACAGAGAGAGATACAGAGGGGGGGGGAGAGAGAGACATAGAGAGATACAAAGAGAGGGGGAAACAGAGGGAGGATTTTGTGGTTCCCATAGTTTTTTAGCAACTGGTTCTCTGCCCTAATCACTAGCTGGGTAGGCGTGGCTTGGGGGCTGTCATGTGACTGATGAAAGTGAGTGATGTCGAGTTGGCCACACCCACCAAATGTTCGTGGAGAGTTTGGAACTTCAGCCTCGCTCTTTTAGCCCAGTGGAAGCACCAGACTGGGCCACAGCAACGTGTGGCCGGGTACAGCTAGTAATAATAATTATAATAATAACATAATGTGTAAATATACATAGAGATTAGACAGCACTATAAGAATTAGATGTTCATCAGAGTGGTGTCATAAGAGAAAACACCATCCCTGTGTCTAGTTGTTTTGGCATGCAGTGCCTTAGAGCACCATCCCAAAGGGAGAAGTTGAAATAGTTTATATTCAGGATATGTGGGGTCTGTAGATATTTTCTCAGCCCTCTTTTTGACCAGTGCAGTATACAGGTCCTCAATGGAAGGCAGGTTGGTTGCAATTGTTTTTTCTGCAGTCCTAACTATCCATTGGAGTCTATATCTGTCCTGTTTGGTTGCTGTATTAAACCAGTTCTAGAAATACAAATGAGACTCAACAATTCCTCTGTAGAGCTGGGTCAACAGCTCCTGGGGCTGTCTGAACTTCCTGAGTTGACGCAGGAAGAACATTCCTTGTGTCTTTTTAATGATGGTTCTAATGTTAGGTGTCCATTTCCAGCCCTGGGAGATTATAGAACCTAAAAACTTGAAGGACTCTACTGCTGATACTGTGCTGTCGAATATAATCAGAGGTGGTAGAATAGTTTCCATTTGCCAAAACAAATGGAAAAAAACTTACAGTGATTGAGCTGTCACCATAAATATCAGAAACCTTATTTAAAGTACACTTACAGTACCATTCAACAGTAAAAAGGATAAAGTTTATTATTTTGTAAACAAATACATTAAAAAACAGTCCAGGGCCCTTTTGAGTTATAAAGTGCAGCTATGTTTTACTTATCCTATACAATATGCTGGCATTATGTATTTAAGAGTTCAATTACAAAATAAAACATTTCTGCCAGATGTGCACTTACATGTTATATTTAGTGGACTTTACTATCTGCCCTTCGTTAATTTATATTTACTACTGAGTGAGAATAAAGACAAAGTGCCCAAGCCTGACATGACAGGGCTCTTCTGCTTTTAGTGATTTGATTGCCATTTTAGTATCTAAAGCTGATGCAAATGTCATTCCCACCAATTCCCACCAAAATGGATGCGAGTCCTGAAATATTTTTCATTGCAACACGTGGGGCAATTATTAACTGCAGAGGTTCAGCATACCTTTTATTTGGTTTTGTGTCTCACTTAAAGCCCCGCCCCAAGCCTTGTGGGGACCATGGGACAGACTCTTAAGGCAGAGAGGTGGAAGGAAAGAGCCAAGGCGGAGGGGGGGCATTCTGACTTGAGCCCAGTCCTGCAACAGGCGACGTGCCAGTAACAGGAAAGCAAAGCCAGCCTGGCAAGCTCTAAACAGATGCAGAGGAGGCAGACGTGAGGGACGACAGGGAGAAGCAGCTAGACGGTCATGGACAAAATCACTCGCGGGAGGAGAGTCATGTACAGGTAGATCAAAGGTTTGCTCAGTGAATTAAAAGAAAAATCCAGAATTCTGCAGGCGACGTTGGTGGTCAAGTGGGAGTCCCCTTCATGGCTGGAGGAAAAGAGAAGCGAGAACCACAAGGTGATGCCTGATGGCGCTAAGCTCTGGTTGCTCCTCCTCATACATGGGACGCCGTTGCTCCCCTTTAGGAATGGGGTACGCGGCAGGATCGGCAGCAGGCCTTGCTGTAGTACCAGTGGCCACAGAGGTTCACCTTAATCGCCAGAGCGCAGTTGGTCCCCGCCTGGTCCTGGCAACTGTCGTCTGTGGGAGGGCCACAAGGTCAGGGAGGTCATCTGAGGCAAGAGGGAGAGCCACGTTGGGCCCCAGTGCCTGCCTCCACCTTGTCACCCCAAGTGCTGAGCAGCATCAATGATGCCTCAGCAAGGGATGTGGGATGTCCCCCCTTCTGGCTCTCGGTCACCCGCACAGAATAAACCCCATTGTTTTCTTTTGAATGTGGTCTTTGAAGGTGGGGCGGGGCAAAGAACTGGGGGCTTTCCTGAACCTTTACCCCCCCAGGGTAAAAGAAGGGTGTCCTCCCTCCCCTCAGGTGACCTGCCATAGCCTCCCCTTAAAACCCCTCCCCACTGCAAATGGCCAGGAAGTCCTTCTGGGGGGGGAGGTGGCCAAGGGAAGAACTTCCTCTTCTGGAGAGGGAAGACTCATCAGATGGTTCGTGTGGAAGGTTGTGGTGTGGTCAGATCAGCATAAGGACCAGGACAGAGACAGAAACTGGGTTTCCCAGCGCTGGGGCTCCAACACTGCCGGGCATGGCTCACTTGTGGCACTTAAGCTATCCCAGCGCCCCCCCCCCCCCCCCAATCTGCCAGGCATCCCAGCTAACCTGGTGGCTCTGTTGGGCAAGGATGGAGGTCACAGGTCTGCTTCACAACTGGTTTCAAGAGTGGGTCACACCCACGGACAAGATCCTTCCCTTGGTAACACTTGACATCCCGCATCCGCACGCCAATTCCGCAGGTTTTTGTGCACTGTGAGGTAGGAACAAAAGCTCTTTTGGCAAACTTAAGACAACCAGAACCATTCAAAAGGAGCTCCAGCCTTTCATAAAATAAGGTTGGGGGCGACGGAGGGGCATCCCTCCATTGCATTGATATCTATCCCCCCGCTCCTCTCCCCCCTTCCCGGGCACTGCATATGTTATGAAACGGGCTTACCAGCTGCCCTTGAAATTGAAGGGGTTCTCCTCTCCTTCCCCCCCTTCCCTTTCCCTCTTTTCCCCTCTATCGGAACTATTACTCGAATATGATCTGCGAGTATACGACTATGCCAGAGACTATTTCCATCTCTCTCCCTGGACTGATTGGCCGACTGATAGACTGATAGCTTTTGACTCTCCGACTGTGGTTAGTCAACAAGGCAATATCTGAGGGGGACGTTATTACATCTTGACTGTACTACTGGGAGGAATACTCCGTTTCGATCTAAGGTCATTTGTAGGCAGCTCGTCATGTGAGGGTGAGTTGGATGTTACTCCTATTGAATTGTATCTGTCAGGACCCTTCCCGCTGTCGTGAGAGGACAGTGGAAGTACCAGTATGCCTCATTGAACTATACCTGTATTTTACATCTTTTGTGAGACCCCTGTTTATGCTCCGTGCCTCCATCGTTACACCTGGAAATGTATATGACATTGGACCTGCTTGCGCTGTGAGATTCCCCCCTCTCGCAGATGTGGCCCTCTTCCCTATCGAGGGCCTACCTCAAGGATGGGTTTTGGGACCCGGAGAGGTGGCATGTGAAAACTAGGGGGTTGAGGGGTCTTTTACTCAAATTTTTAGTTAAATTTTTAAGGGGTTCTAGGGAGGGGGAGGGTTTGATTGGAATGTGGGTTGTGGGCATGGGGGATAGCCCACTAAGGGGAAGGGCGGGCCTGGCAAGAAAGCACGGCATGGGAGGTGGGGATCCCGGGGTCAAGGGGGGAGTCAGAGTTTGTCCGGATAGTGCTTTGAACATCACTACCATGAGTGGGAGGGGTAGATATGGCGGGAGCAGGGGGCCATATCGAGTTAGGGGAGTGCACACCCACTGTTTACGAGCGGTGGTGCGCTCCAGCCCCCAAGGCTCCACCCATTCCCCAGGTTGCACAGACCCTCAGGGCCCGGCCCTCCGGCTGATGCTGTGCAATGCCAGGTCCGTAGTAAATAAAGCCCCCCTCATCTGTGACTTAAATGGTGAGGGGGGAGCGGACCTGGCAGGTATTACGGAGACCTGGTTGGGCCAGGAGAGGGGAGGTTCCCCTCGTGGAAATGTGCCCGCCAGGTTTCCTTGCATTCCATTGGCCGAGGTCACAGGGCAGGGGCGGGGGAGTAGCGGTTATTATTAAAGAAGGTCTGAGACCGAGGGAGGCCACTGTTCATCAGACGGCCGGCTGTGAGTCCCTCCTTGTGAAGTGGGGTCATGGGATTCAGATGGGCTTGCTGATCACGTACCTGGCTCCCTGCCCGAGCTCCTCAACATTATCGCTGTGGTGGCGGTTGATACCCCCAGACTTATGGTCATAGGGGATTTCAACCTGCCATCTGTGGGTGAGACATCGGAGGTGGCTCGGGAGTTCATGGCTTCCATGACAGCTATGGACCTGACCCAGTTAATTCATGGCCCTACCCACACAGGAGGAAACACATTGGACCTGATTTTTGTCTCTGGACTGTGGTTGAGTGATCTTGAGATAGGGGATATAGTCACCGAACCCTTGTCATGGTCGGATCACTCTCTCCTTCGCCTTGACCTTCAAACCGCTATACCCCGTCGCAGGGAGGCGGAGCTGGTAAGATGGTTCCGCCCCAGGCGCCTGATGGAACCTGATAGATTCCAGATGGAGCTTGGGCCATTTCCTGAGGCTCTGGCACATGCCTCGACTAGGGACCTAGTGGCCGCCTGGGATAGGGCGGCCGCTGGAGCTCTGGATCGGGTCGTGCCTTTGCGGCCTCTGACCCGACGCCGATCTCACCTAGCTCCTTGGTTCACTGAGGAGCTGAGGGAGATGAAGCACCAGAAAAGACGCCTAGAGAGTAGTTGGAGGGCCAGTCTTTCTGAATCCGACCAGACACTGGTAAGATCTCATATTAAGAATTACCTAGTGGCAATAAAAGCAGCAAAATCTACATATTTTGCTGCTCTTATTGCATCATCAGATAATCGCCCGGCCGCTCTGTTTAGGGTGACCCCCTCCCTGCTCCACCAGGAAGCGTGGGAGGACCCCTTGGAGGGTAGTTCCAGGGGGGTTGACTGAGGCAGGTCTTGAGAATGTTATCTGGGATGAGTTTGATCCTGTGACCCCTGACGGTGTGGACAGGATTCTGGGTGGACTGAACGCGACCACATGTTTATTGGACCCGTGCCCCTCCTGGTTAGTGCTGGCTTCCTGGGAGGTGACGCGAGGCTGGCTCCAGGGGATTATAAATGCTTCGTTGGGTGAGGGTGAGTTCCCCGCCACCTTGAAAGAGGCAGTGGTGAGGCCTCTCCTCAAGAAGCCTTCCCTGGACCCGGCAGTGTTGGCTAATTATCGTCCGGTCTCCAACCTTCGTTTTGTTGCAAAGGTTGTTGAGAGTGTGGTTGCGCGACAGTTCCCCCAGTATCTGGATGAAATGACGTATCTGGATCCAGGCCTGGGTACAGCATGGAAATGGCATTGGTCGCATTGGTTGATGATCTCTGGAGGGCTCGGGACAGGGGTTGCTCCTCTGTCCTGGTCCTATTAGACCTCTCAGCAGCTTTTGATACCATCGACCATGGTATCATGCTGCACCAGTTGGAAGAGTTAGGGGTGGGCGGCACTGTATTACGGTGGTTCTCCTCCTTTCTCTCCGACCGGTTGCAGTCTGTGTTGGCAGGGGGGCAGAGGTCAACCCCGAGGCCCCTCATATGTGGGGTGCCACAAGGGTCGGTCCTCTCGCCCCTTTTGTTCAACATTTATGTAAAGCCGCTGGGCGAGATCATCCGTGGATTTGGGGTGAAGTACCATCAGTACGCTGATGACACCCAGCTGCACATCTCCACCTCGGACCACCCCAACGATGCCCTTGAAGTGATGTCCCGGTGTCTGGAGGCCGTGTGGATCTGGATGGGGAGGAACAGGCTCAGGCTCAACCCATCCAAGACCGAGTGGCTGTGGTTTCCGACATCCTGATATAGTCAGTTGACGCCATCGCTGACTATTGGGGGCGAATCGCTGGCCCCCACGGAGAGGGCTCGCAACTTGGGCATCCTCCTGGATTCACGGCTGTCTTTAGAAAAGCACTTGACGGCTGTGACCGGGAGGATTTTTCATCAAGTTCGCCTGATTCGCCAGTTGTGTCCCTTTCTGGATCGGGACTCCCTACACACAGTCACTCATGCCCTCGTCACTGCAATGCCTGGACTACTGCAATGCTCTTTACATGGGGCTCCCCTTGAGAAGCACCCGGAGGCTCCAACTGGCGCAGAGTGCGGCCGCGCGGGTGGTTTTGGGAGCAACATGGCGCTCCCATGTGACACCTCTCCTGCGCGAGCTGCACTGGCTCCCAGTGGTCTTCCGGGTGCGCTTCAAGGTTTTGGTTACCACTTTTAGGGCGCTCCATGGCTTAGGACCTGGTTATTTACGGGACAGCCTACTACCACAAGCAGCCTCCCACCGGCCGGTACGCTCTCATAGAGAGGGGCTCCTCCGGGTGCCATCAGCTAAACAATGTCGACTGGCGGCCCCCAGGGGGAGGGCCTTCTCTGAGGGCCTGTGGGCCTTCTCACTATCTGGAATGAGCTCCCCCCAGAGATACGGAGGATCCCGGATCTATGCACTTTCCGCTGTGCTCTTAAGATTCTTTTATTCCAGCAAGTCGGCCTGGCCTAATTTTCTCCCCTGTTTTAAAATCCTTTTAAATCGAAATTTTAATCTGTTTTAAATTATTGGGATTTTTTAATTGTCTCGGGCTAAATTATTTAATCTGGTTTTAATTATATCTTTTAACTTTTGTATCTATGTATTTTATTTTGTGCCTGTTCACCGCCTTGAGTCTTTTGGGAGTAGGGCGGTATATAAATCTAATAAAAGAAAGAAAGAAAGAAAGAAAGAAAGAAAGAAAGAAAGAAAGAAAGAAAAAAAAGCCGGCAGACCAAGGAGAGGAGGAGGAGGAGGAGGAGGAGGAGGAGGAGGAGGAATTTTGCAGCTGTTTTAAATACACTGCAGGTGAGCCAACATCACCTCTCCTGAGTTCTTGGCTGCAGTCGATGGGCTGCTGCTGCTTTCAAATTGGTGCAGTGTCCTAATGCAGGAAGCCCAGGAGACAACCCCCCCCCGAGCCCCACTCCCAAGCCCATCCAAACCAGCTGGGGGAGGGGAGTTGCACCTCCACATTTCATCTCTCAGGAGTTTCATTTATTTTATAGGTTGGGAATCTAAGAAAGTTGTTCTTGACTCAGCACCCCACAGCTTTCTCCTCTATGCTGGGGGGTGGGTGGGGTGGCAGCTGTGCATGCCGACAGGGACTCTCTGCCCCTTTGCTCTGCATATATATAGCAAGGCCTGCCCTGCTCTCACAGGGGCATCTGCAGCAGAGGCTCTTGGGGAGAGGGACGTGCTGGGGGCATCTCTGCTGCCCAGAAACCCCACCGGCTCTGGGCAGCCTGGCAAGACCTGCAGGAGCTCCAGCCAGTGCCCAACGAGTCGCCATGGCTGACAGGCCAATGCGAGCCTCTTGCGGTCTGGAGCATCAGGCATAATCGGAAACAACTGTGCTTTCTTGGAAGCCCCAGAGACACAGGATCTGTTGAGCAGGGAGAGGATATCAGGTTCCGGGCAGGGAACTGGCCAGGGGTTCATTATTTATTTATTTTATTTTATTTATTTAATTTAATTTATATACCGCCCTTCTCCCGAAGGACTCAGGGTGGTGAACAGCCATAATAAAAACAATGTACAAAAATAGAATTTAAAAGCAGATTAAAATAAATAAATCATAGGCCAAATTTAAAACTCTCATTTTAAAACCAATTTTTAAAACCCCATTAAAACCAATTTAAAATCATTTATCCCATCAGAGCGGCTTGCTGGAATAACAGGGTCTTCACTGCACGACGGAAGGCGCAGAGGTCGGGGATCCTTCGTATGTCCGGGGGTAATTCATTCCAGAGGGCAGGGGCCCCCACAGAGAAGGCTCTCCCCCAGTCTACATTGTTTGGCTGATGGCACCCTGAGGAGGCCCTCTCTGTGTGAGCGTACCGGTCGGTGGGAGGCAATCGGTGGCAGAATGCGGTCTTGTAGATAACCAACCATGGAGCGCTTTAAAGGTGGTAACCAACACCTTGAAGCGCACCCGAAAGACCACCGGGAGCCAGTGCAGCTCGCGCAAGAGGGGTGTTACATGGGAGCGACGGGTCGCCCCCATTATTACTCGCGCAGCCGCATTCTGGACCAGTTGGAGCGTCCGGGTGCTCCTCAAGGGGAGCCCCATGTAGAGAGCGTTACAATAGTCCAGATGGGAAGTGACGAGGGCTTGAGTAACAGTGCGCAAGGCGTCCTGATCCAGAAAGGGGCGCAACTGGGAAATCAGGCGAACCTGATAAAAAGTCCCCCTGGCCACGGCCATCTTATGATCATCCAAAGACAGCCGTGAGTCCAGGAGGACGCCCAAGTTGCGAGCCCTCTCTGAGGGGGGTAAGATCTCATCCCCAATAGTCAGCGATGGTGTGAGCTGGCTATATCGGGACACCGGAAACTACAGCCAGTCAGTCTTGGAGGGGTTGAGTCTGAGCCTGTTCCTCCCCAACCAGATCCGCACAGCCTCCAGGCAATGGGACATCACATCATTGGGATGGCCTGGGGTTGAAATGTACAACTGCGTGTCATCGGCATACAGTTGACACTTCACCCCAAAACCACGGATGATCTTGCCCAGTGGCTTCACATAAATGTTAAACAGGAGGGGCGAGAGAACCGATCCCTGTGGCACCCCACAAGTGAGGAACCTGGAGGTCGACCTCTGCCCTCCCGTCAACACAGACTGCGTACGGTCAGAGAGGAAGGAGGAGAACCACCGTAAAATGGTGCCTCCCACTCCCAACCCCTCTAGCCAATGCAGCATGATACCATGATCAATGGTATCAAAAGCTGCTGAGAGGTCTAGGAGGACCAGAACAGAGAAGCAACCCCTATCCCGAGCCCTCCAGAGATCATCAACCAATGCGATCAATGCCATTTCTGTGCTGTAACCCGCCCTGAAGCCTGACTGGCACGGATCTAGATAGACAGCTTCATCCAGGAATCGAGGAAGTTGCCTCGCCACCACACTCTCGCCAACCTTCGCTGTGAAGCGAAGGTTGGAGACAGGATGATAGTTAGCTAAAACAGCCGGATCCAGGGAAGGCTTCTTGAGGAGGGGCCTCACCACCGCCTCTTTCAGGGCGGCTGGAAAGACACCCTCACCCAGCGAACCATTGGTAATCTCCTGAAACCAGCCTCGTGTAACCTCCCGAGAGGCCAGTACCAACCAGGAGGGACACGGGTCCAGTAAACATGTGGTAGCATTAAGCCTCCCCAAAATCCTGTCCATGTTCTCAGGAGTCACAGGGTCAAACTCCTCCCAGATAACAGTCTCAAGACTTGCCTCTGTCATCCAGTCCGAAACTATCCAATCAGAGTCCAGGCTGTGCCGAATCTGAGCGATTTTATCATGCAGATACTGCTCAAAATCCTCAGCTCTACCCTGCTGAGGGTAGAGGGTAGTCTTGGAACGTGAAGGGCATTAATTGGGGCGGCTGGTTGTGAATTTTTCTGGTTCTAAAATTCCCCTGGCTGCTAAAAAGCCCCCCGCTTAGCTCTGCTCTGCACAGGATAGTCTGGTAGAATCCTGGAGAGGTGTCCTGTTCCGAGCAAGCATGGTTCACTGGGGTGGGGGTGGGAGGAAGGAGGTTCGGCCATGGCAGGTCGATCGGAGACACCTTTTCCTGGAAGTTCCTGTTTTGGCTTTGTGTCCCACAAATTGAATTTACCGCAGGCCAGGTTGGCCCTCCTTCAGTCAAAGAGCCACCACCTCTGGGTTGCTGGGGGCATTCTTACCTCACAAGCTAGTGTCACCAGAACCAGAAGTCCCCAGGCCCTCACCTCAGACCAAGGGGTGGTGTACCACTTGAAGCAGGGGCGCTCAAAGCAGGTGGCTTCCTCAGCCTCCTTCTTGGTGGCATTGCACGTGGCAGGGGGTCGGGTTTTGATCTTCCCACTGACTATCTCCAGGCAGAGGACTGTCCGCTTCTTCAACCCTCGGCCGCAGGTGGCGTTGCACTGCCAGAAGAAGGAAGGATCGAGAGCTGGCCTGGGCAGCCATAAACCCATAAAACCCTCCCCAGGGACCCCTTACCCGTTCCCAGTCTTGGGCCAGCCAGCCGGCGGGGCAGTTCTTCTCCCCACAGGGGTGGATGGCAAGGGGCTTGGCTTCAGGGTTGCACTGGGACTCCGGCACCACGCGTCCATCGCTGCTCTTGCAGTAGACCTGGCGGATCATTCGGCCTGGCCCACAGCCCCCACTGCACTGTGAGGGAGAGAGAAGGGCAGAGACATATCTAGACTCGTGTCTGTCATGGCCTCCTCAGAGCTCGGTTTGGAGGGGGAGGGGGAGTCAAAACTGAGACTGTCTGACAGGAAAGGCACGCCAGGGGCTGAGAAGACAATGCTGTCCTTGGATTTTCAGGCATTGGAAGAGATGGTTGACCAGACGGAAAGCTGCCTGCCTGCACAGACACAGAGGATGGCAGGGGTACCAATAGGCAGCCAATTTCCTCTGATGAGAAACAGATGTCTACTCCACTGAGCCAATGGCAAGGAGAGCAGAGCGGAGGCAAGTCCAGAGAAGGGCTGCAAGGCTACTCAGGAGGAGATCGCCCCCCACCCCTTCTCACAAGGAACACCTGGCGGGGAATAATTTAAGGAGAAGCCATGGGGAATTAGTCTTTGTCAGGAATAATTGTTTGCTTTGGCTTCAACTGGTGCCTATTTGCTGTTTGCTTTGCCTTGCCTTGCTTGGATGATTGCTCTTCACATTTTGGGCAAAACCTGGCCCTTCTCTTGTGGCCTGCGTTTGGCCTCAGCTTCACTGGGGCTTTGGAACTGCTTCTTTTCTGAGACCCGTTTCTTGTCCTGAGGACTGCCTTTGTCTTATGCCTGGACTCTGCCTGGTGGATTGGACTTGAAAACCTGGACTTTGCCCTGTGAGCATGCTCCTATTCTGTGGGGCTTTCTTTTGTACTACTGGGGCTGTGTTATGGAGTCTGAGAGTGGCTGCCTGCAGGGTAGCATGGGTTGTTGAAGGGCCTTTGGCTGAAATATGTATGCTTTACCTTGACCACCTGGGTCATAACACTTTGTTCCTGGCCTAACATCTCCACCCCTCCCAGTTACTGTGGCAGAACATGCTCATTTAGCTCAGCAGGTGATGCTCCTTTTCTCACAACATGCCCAGTTGCAGGCTGCCGGCCCCATCTGGCCTTGCTGCAAATGCCCGATGGCGGTGCTCAATAACTTTGATGGGACATTGGCCCAATTTCCTGTTTTCTTTGGGCAATGCCAGCTGTACATGAACCTATGGCTAGAGGATTTCCACATGGTTTGGGACAAAGTGGGCTCCCTGATTAGCCTCTTGACAGGGTCTGCAGCTTATCAGGCAAAAGGAACAACTCAAGGTCCTTTGGCCACTGAACAAGGTGATTTTACACTTTTGTAACTTTCCCCATATTTCTCTCTCTCTCTCTCTCTCTCTCTCTCTCTCTCTCTCTCTCTCTCTCTCTCTCCCTCCCTCCCTCCCTCCCTCCCTCCCTCCCTCCGTCCCTCTGTGTGTACACACACAGAACAAAAATGGCAAATGGGATGGAAGAACAAAGCTACTTGGAGACACAGAAAGGATGAGACTCATCAATTCTTTTGACAGCTAGGACAGCAGTCTCAAACATTTCTGACATCAGGAACTGGTTTCGGGGAAAAAAATTGTCATGCCATAGATACCCCAGCCCAAAGGTTGGGGACCCCTGAGCTAAGAGAAGTGCTACCCAGGCAGCTGCATGTAACACATTGAAGTGGCAGGGATGAGTCTTAAAATGCTAGTGCTGGAAGGAACCCTTAAGGCCATCCAGTTCACCCCTTGGGGCGAAAATCCAGAGAGGCATCCTCAAGAATAACTGCTTGATCAGGGACTGGGAAGGAGAGCTGCCCCCCTCCCCTTCCATTAGCTGCCTTCTTGGCTTTACTGGCAAACACCCCCCCCCCCCGGCTAGGAATCTGCCTTCCTGCGGGAAGGAACACTAATGTTTCAAAAGGGATGCTATAAAAAATTCAAAATCAGGATGTTTGAAGCCCTCAAAGTTATTTTGATGCACAGAGACTGCCTGGCCCCAGAGCCAAAATTCAGGTGATCTTATTTTGTGGAAGAAACCACAAGCAAATCGGGTATTAGATTATTTGGGCTGCAAACTGGATATTAGATTAAACGGCACCCCTGCTCTGATCCGGAAGGCAGGCCCGTTCCATGTCTTGTGACCCACACCAGGCTCCCCCTTGCAGCTCCTGCAAATACCCCAGCCTCCCTCTCTCCTGGTCAGCAAGTTCCTCCTCTGCCCAAAAGACTTACCGGTCCCCAGTCAGAGACTGTCCACTGCCGGTCGCAGGGCGGCCCGGTACAGTTCTTATCAGCTGCTGGCTTGGTGCTGGCATCGCACAGCCTCTCTTCTTCAGAACAGCGGATGTCTCGGCTCACCATACTTCTCTCACCACACCTGGCTGTGCACTGCAGGGGGAAGGATAGGGAGAGTCAGCTTTGGCAGCCCCTGGATTCATGGTGGATAGGAGGCCGGAGAGGCTTGACCCTCTGTCCCTAAGGAGAAGCATAAAAAAGCAGCAAGTCCCCCAGAAATCGAACCTCAGGATCGATTTGTGCAATTTGGGTAATGGCCTCTGTTCCTGAGTGAAGGAAGTGCATCGAATGTTCCTTCCACAAAGGACAGGAGAGAAGGGCTGAACGCAACAGCCAGAGGGATCTGCTGGTTAGTGTTAGCCCTCATCATCATCTTTTAATGTCCCCATAATCCCTTGCGGGCTGGAATCTGGGCAACCGAATGGAGCTAGCAGAGTGTTTTAATGGCCGGATGCCCTTCCGGTCGCCAATGCGAAGTTTTGTTCAGCAGATATATTCTCAATGTGCCCAGAGAGAGAAATATCTGCCTCTATCTAGGATCAAACTCACAACCTTCTGATTGTGAGGCGAGAGCTCCACCTCTAGACCACCAAACCGCTCACTAACTCTAGCGTTAGCCCTTCCTACAGTAAATTTAGGACTCTGGGAAATCCTCAACCCAGGTGGACCCACTTAGAGGCATCCTGTGAGCCATGGCCAGCACACCAGAGCAAAAGGTTGTTTGGCCGCCTGTATTTTTTTTAATTTTTTTTTTTATTGAAAAAGTTTTACAAATACAAATTTTCCCATCCCCCCCCTTTCCCTCCCTAACCCTCCCTAACCCTCCCCTCCCCCCATGACTTCCCCAAGATGAAATCCAATCCAAATCATATTGTATCATACTTTACCGCCCATCTATTCTACCCCCTGTGTACTATACATTTCTACACCACATTCAGCTAAAAGCAATCTGGTACTTCCTAGTTTGATATTTATTCTGCACATAATCTATCCATTTCTTCCACTCACATGCATAGGTCTCTTGAGTCCGGTCTTTTAAGTGTGCTGATATCTTCGCCATTTCTGCAAAACTGGCCACCTTCAAAGTCCATTCTTCAATAGTAGGCATAACATCCCTTTTCCAATATTGACCAATCAGTAACCTAGCTGCTGTCACCATATACAATATCAATTTTGTTTCACCCAGTGAAAAGTCCTTAACTATACCCAATAAAAACAATTGAGGAGAGAATTGGAGTTTTTTCTTCAGAACATTTTGCATAACCCACCAAATTTTTATCCAAAAAGCCTTCTCTTTCTTGCACGTCCACCATATATGATAATATGTAGCATCTAAACAATCACATCTCCAACATTTTGGTTGAACATTAGGATACATGCACGACAATTTCTTAGGATCTAAATGCCACCTATAAAACATTTTGTAAAAATTTTCCCTCAAATTCTGTGACTGCGTAAATTTAACATTCTGGACCCATATTTTTTCCCACGTTTCCATCATAACTGGTTCTGCAAAGTTTTGCACCCATTTTATCATACAATCTTTAACCAATTCATTTTCTGAATCTCTTTCTAGCAAAATGTTATAGACCCTCTTGATATGCATTGGGCCTTTCTCTTTTATCTGTCTTACCAATTCTTCTTCTTTAATGCAACATTAAACCAGTTTTTTGATCTTCTTTCCATCTCAATTGAAGTTGATTATACTGTAACCAAGTTAAATTGATCCCTTCTTCCAACAGTGTGTTTAATGTCTTTAGTTGCCATCTGCCCCCATCATTAAAAAGTACTTCTTTGTATAAAAACCCCCCGAGTGACTTTATATTTATATTCCGTATAATATGACCAAGATCCAACCACAACGGTATTTTATAATCCCATTTGAACTGGTGCTTCTTCCACTCTCATCAAGGAGTTTCTGAGTATATGCCTGTTAAATACTTTATCCACTTTATTTTCGTAAAATAAATATGCATGCCAACCAAGTTCAAGGTCATAACTTTCTATATTCAATATTCCAGTCTTTGTCCTTCCAAACCAATCACTTGCTTGTGTCAACGCTGCTGTTTCATAATACAATCGTAGGTTTGGAAGTTTAAGGCCACCCCTTTCACGAGCATCTTGCATAATTTTCAGTTTAACTCTCGGCTTTTTCTCATTCCAAACAAACTTATTCACTCCTTTTTGCCATTCCATCAGCTGTTCATCACTTTTAAGCACCAGAATCATTTGAAACAAAAATAAAAATCTAGGTAGAACGTTCATCTTAACTGCTGCTATTCTTCCAAGTAAAGACAGCTGCAGTTTTTTCCAGGTTTCCATATCCTTTTGTACCTTTCGCCACAACACCTCATAATTATTTTGAAACAATTTTATATTTGAATCTGCAACTTGGACTCCTAGATATCTCACCTTTGGTACTATTTCAAAACCTGCCTTCCTTTCAAGTTCCTTCTTTTGATCTTCTGTCATATTTTTAACTATCATCTTGGTTTTTTTCTGATTCAGTCTAAATCCTGATACCATACCATATTCTTCTATAATGTCTTTCATCTGGATTATTGATTCCATCGGCTGTGTTAGGGTAACAACCAGATCGTCTGCAAATGCCCTTGTTCTGTAATCCTCTTGCCTTATAACTATTCCATTCAAAGTACTTGAGTACCGTATTGTGTTCAACAAGACTTCTAGAGTTAAGATAAACAACAACGGGGATAACGGACACCCTTGTCTTGTGCCTTTTTCTATACTGAAGTTTGTAGTTAAGCTTCCATTAATGATAATTTGTGCTGTTTGCTCTTGATAAATTGCTGAAACTGCCTGCACAAACTGATGTCGAGCCCGGCGTGCCCGACATACGACCGGGACGGGAAGGCAGATCGGAAAGAGTAACACATCCCAAACAAAACTACAACGTAAGAGGGGGCACGGGAAATAAGCGGCACGGGAAATGGTGGAGGGGCGTCGGTGGAGGGATTGCGTTTAGGACGCAGAGAAACCCGGAATGAGAAAACTGGAAACGTCGCTGCAACTCACCCCAACACAGCTGAGCCACACATTCATCAAGAGAGGGGTGGCGCACTAGGATATAAAGCGCTGCGAGGCGGATGCTCGCAGCGCCAACTTTGAAAGTTTGTAGCTTGGCGTTGTTCCGTAACTGATGAAAAGCAATAAACCAGGATTCACTCTCCAGTTGATGTGTCCAGCTGTGTTTTATTGCTGTCTCCGTGCTGTGCGGGACAAGGAGCTGAGAGAAAGTTGGTGCTCCCTTCGTTCTAGTTTCTTCCTGGAGGTGTGTTTGGAGATTTGGAATGGCGGAGGGAACGGACCCCGGAGCGAAGGTGTTGGTGGAGACATTGGCAGAGATGCTGGCAGAGGGGGTGACCGTCCAGCCGGCGGCCCCGGTCAAGTTGCAACCCGTGGTGAAGTCTCAGTCGAAGGAATGGACCCCAAACCCCGGCGGGGACGAGGGAGAAACGGATGAAGCCAAGACAAAGCTTACTGACGCACCTCCCCCCCCGAGAACTGGTTGCGAAGCCCGGCAGTAGCTGGCTCAGGGGGTAAGGTTTCTACCTTTGCTTCATCGGGTGACCCTTTTCAGCGCTGGAGAGAGAGACGCTGGGTAGATGACGAGGAGGGGGGCGAGGGGAGCTACTCAACGGGACTCGGCTCTTCTACTTTGGATGTCTTAAGAGACCATTTTGGGGGGAGTAGCTTTAGAGATGCCCCCTCATGGCAGTCCTGGGCCGAAGGGGTGGAGTCTCGAGCTACCACTTGGCAGGGGTCTGAGGCATCTGGGTCAACCCGGTTTCGTTTGGCCAGCCCTAAACTAAAGTTAAAGAGTTCCGGAGATAGAGCACGAAATCCAGAACAGGCACAGCCGATGGCCCATTCCCACGCCGGGGGTGTGTGTGGAGGTAGGGACAGCTGCCGAGCAGGGAGGGAGGTGGTCTCCACCCACGCTGTCCACCCAGGGCGATAGGCGACCAACCAATATGGGCCGGGGGCCCCTGGGACAGCAGGGAATGAACCAGCCACCCCCCCAGGCCCCCGTGGGCCCTGGATATGCAGGGGCTCCAGGACAGGGACCCTGGCAACCTCAACCGATGTGGGGTCCACCTCCCCTACAGGCGACATTTGATGGCAGTTCTGACAGGGTAGCTATTTTCTTGAGTCAAGTCCTCAGTTATTTTGATTTATATGGACAGTTCTACCCCACCCAGTGGTCCATGGTGGTCGCAGTCACGACAGCCTTGAAGGGAGAAGCAGCGGACTGGGTGGAGGACCTTCATAGTGACCACGCCCGAGAATTGACAGATGTAGGGTTGTTTCTAGAAGGTCTTCAGGTTTGTTTTGAAGACGATTCACGGGTGCAACAAGCTGAGGGCGAATTGGTGGCTTTACATCAGAGAGGCCAGCCAGCCAGGGAGTACGTAAAGGAGTTCCGTGCAATTGCAGGCAGATTGAGGGCTTGGCCGGAGTGGATGCTGGTCCACCAATTTCACCTTGGCCTAGATAGGGAGATCCGACAGGCCTATGTGTACCACGGACTGCCACCTTGGTTGTCGGAATGGTTTAAGGCGGCTATTGACTTGGATCTGGGGCTAAAGGAATTCAGGTTTAGAGGGAGCTCAGGGGGCACCCAAGGAAGGAGACCACTGGAGAGACCACTTGTGGCTCGGGATTCCGGGAGGCCCGCCTCGACGCCTGGGCCTGTGGGCTCCGCCCGAAGAGCGCCCTTCTGATGTTTTCGGTGTAACCAAGAGGAGCACCGAGCAGCCGACTGCCCATTTCCCCCGCCCCAACCATCCATACGGAGGTCGCCAGATAGATCCAGTAATAAAGGAAAATTGCGAGTGACTCCTGAACGTTCCCGAGTGGCTTCACAGACCCCGATAATGGATAAGGATAGCCCGATGAGTGACGCGGGGAGTGTGCCTGGACCTGGAGACTTACCGGTGGTGCTGGGAGACAGCGATAAGGATGACAACCAGGACCCCATGGTAAGTGCCCCCATCCGACCTTTCATCATTCAAATCAATCTCCAAAATCCTCGCACCAGCACCCTGGTAGGTCGAGGGGCTTTAATAGAT